GGCAGGCAGGTATGCACGAAACAGCCTCAAACACTATTTCTTTTTATCTTTTGTTCCACTGCACAACACACATGCTGTACAATTAAAAGAATTTTTCTCTTCCGCTTTCTCCTTCTTCATGTCACGAGTGCATATACGTCAACTATCGACAGCGTCAGAAATTTCAGAAATCCATACCCACTATGGACTTCAGTATCATACTATACATATACCAAACAACTCTGTGCTGGAGAGTAATAAATGACTAACCCATTTATGCTAGAGGGTGATAAATGGCAGAGCCGTTTATGCTACGAAAAAGCCATTTACGCTAGAAATTCCCCATTTATGCTAGAGAACGCTCCCGGATAGGTAGCTGCATAGCCATTTATTCGGAAAAAAGTGTGGGAAAGCCATTTATTCTAGAAACGGCGCAATTTATTTATCCAGCAATTTATCCAGTGAAAACGTTTACTCTTGTCAAATGGCTAAAGTCATTTTCAAAAAAGAACAATCCTGAGCTGATCGCATATTACGATACTCGTCATTCTTTATCTGTCGTGAATGGATATTTGCTTGAATATGCACGAGTAATAATTTCCAAGAAATTACAACGCCAGTTCTTCACATGCTGCATCGTGCTCATCTTGGCGTGGTGAAAATGAAACAGCTGGCTCGTCTTCATTGGTGGTGGCCAAAGATGGATAAAGATATTGCTAGCATGGCAAATTCTCGCGAGACTTGTGCAAAGTCAGCAAAAATGCCCAGGGAAGAATTCAAACCATGGCCAGAACCGGAACATGTGTGGTCTCGAGCACACATGGACTTCGCTGAACCATTCTGGGGTTCGAAATGGCTCGTGGTCGTCGATGCAAAATCGAAGTTCCCATTCGCGACAGATACGGGAGACGACACAACCGCAAAGAGTCTTTGTAACGTTCTTGAACAAGTAATTGATTGGCTCGGTCCGCCGGAAACGCTCGTTTCAGACAATGGTCCACTATTCTGCAGTTACGAGATGAAGGATTTCTACAAAAAGTACGGCATCGAACACAGCACAACAGCACCTTATCATCCGGCCAGCAACGGACTTGCAGAGCGTTTTGTGCGCTTATTCAAAGAAGGGATGATGAAAGAACAACAAGTTGGACAACGAAACAAGAATGTCGCACTCAGGAACGTACTACGAACCTATCGGTGGACTCCGCACACTTCAACCGGCATTCCTCCTGCCGATATGCTGCTTCAACGTCCGATTCGAACCGCATTGGTCAGACTGAAACCGAATTTGTCAAAAACAATTCTGAATAAGACGAAGTACTATGTTGAACAACTCGTATGGGCAATGAATAACCAACCAAACAAACGACCCTACTGGCAACCTGCAACTATTACAAAAAATCTCCACTCGATGGTATATGAAATACTGCTGACCAATGGGCAATGCTGGAGGCGTCACCAGAACCAACTTCGTTTGCGTCACTCCCAAAGCCGTCGATTATCCGACCCGGACAGTTTACCTGAGGATTTGTGCAACAGCACGCAGGAATCTAAGCAAGTGGAACCTTCTCGTCCGTTGTCACCAAGATATCCTCGCCGAAATCACAAACCGCCCGATCGCTACATATCCACGTGACAGTCTTAAGGGAAAGGTGTTCACGTGAAAAGTTCTCGATCATATATCATCACACGTCATCATACGTCACGTGTTATTGTTTTTGTCAACGTGACCTCGCCCGTACTTATGATATATATACTCGTGTTGTCTTCCTTTTCTGTGTCTCATTTTTTATCTGTTATCGTATGTTAAATGTTGTGAAATAAATCGAACTCATGTTTTAAAACACGCAGCATTTACATTAGTGAATTTCTTTATCCACATACATGCATCTAATAAAAGGTATACCAAGTGATTACCAGTTCTTTAAAACATAGAAGACATACCAAAGAATTTCGTTGCAAAAAGAGAAATAATTTTAAAAATTTATTCATTGATTGTTGAAACGGTTCAGAATAATCACAGAATAATTAATTATTCCGCTAGAATTACTACAAGCCTCTTTATAATATTTACTGTTCCTTATCTTATATGTATTTGCCTAAAGGGTGGTTTACTCTGGTGTTGTGTCATTTAAGCACTTAGCCTCAAAAGCGTGCTGTTTTTCTTGCTGATTGATAGTGTAGTTGATATCCTGGTTCAGACGTTTCTGATGCTACGGAAAATTCCAACGAAATCAATGCTTGAAATCTGCGCGTTAGTCCAAATCAGCAGCTGGAAATGTCCACATTGTCTATCAACATCGCAAATTGTGCGCAGCACAATTGGATTCTAGTTTGTGGTTTGAATGGTACTACGAAACGATTTGAAATAGAAATAAAGAACACTGGCTAATACGGCCTTGGAAGCAGACAGAAGTTTCATGTAAAATCAAGATCAAAAGTCTTTTAAACGGTAAGGGTGTAGGATCGGAAGTTTTTATATGAGTCAATTTTCTCTGATCCCTGATCAGTTAATACATTTTGTTTTTGAAACGAATAATACGCTAAGGCTTCGTCTAAGAAAAATACATATAAAATGATCTCTGTGGATATGATACACGTTATGTGATGAACTAAAGAACTCTGGTGCATCTATCATCTCTCCCTCTTTATAAGATGTATTGGTATTGAACGTTTATTCTTATGTATTAATATTCGAAATGTAGTACTTTTACTTTAGGGAATCATATAACGAAATAAATTTTAAAATTATTTGAAAATAAGAGAATGTTCTTTTTGTATCAACTTGATGTTGTCGTTCTTTAAAAATCCTTTGTTGCACAATGTAAATATGTTGCTGCATCATGTAAGGATTCTGCGTCATAATAATGAAGTAAATCATTTTTCCAGAAGTCCCATGCTTTTGCGTCTACTAACTTGGGTATTGGTCTATCTAACAATGTTATTGGTGTACCGCTTTCATAATGATTGGCTATCCATTGTACAGCTTCAAGAATGCCATTCTTTTCGGTATCTAATAAACATGCACATAATTTCTCTGATGGTTTGGGATTTAGTTTTTCAACTTCTGGTTGTAAACGTGCCCACAGATCCCACATGTGAAATTTGTGTGCGATACGTTCGACTGCTGACCAATGCGGACCTAGGCCATCATCTTGTTTACCAATCATTGATAGAATTTTATCAATCATTTGCATTGTGAATCCATAATAACCAGTTGGTAGAATCTCATCGGGGGCATACATCACTACTTTTGGTCCGGTACCATGTAAATTTTGATTAACAGTTGGAATGTGATTGTCGACAGTTGCACGTGGATTGAATAAACGTAAAGCTGGAACGGTTAATGAATGGATGGTGTGTGCAACTGATACATTCAAATTTTTAGATAAATGTGCTTTGCGAAATTCAGCTTGACATCTATTGCCAAGTAGTGTTGCACCATTAACAGCATAGACGCCAATAAGAACAAGTAATAGATAATGCATGGTCCTAAAATTAAACGAACTTTTAATGGATGTACACTTCAGTTAGCTAACAAATTTACCGTATTTTTGTAAAAGAAGGTGACAATTTGTTGTTTAATAGAATAATAAGATTATCTGCAGTTTTATAATAATTTTTATGCTGACAGTTTCTTTTCTTATCTAAATAAAACTAACAAATACTTGAAGATTCTAAATACGAGAAAAAAATGAATAATCATTGTCACCTTGAGTATGCAAACAAAGAATCAACTAGAAATATACTTTGCCACAAGTTAGTTGGTGCATTTGCATATGTGTGTGTATTCATAGCATTCACATTTTCTACTGATAAGGATTCTGTATGCATAGGCATAAAATGAGAATTTATCTCATGTGGATATAACATCATTATTTTTGGTTTATAATGATGAGTGTAATATTTCTGTATTTGCGTTTCTCATTCAAAGTTGAACAAAACAACTACTTTTATTGAGTCCATAGATTCATTTGATTTCCTCATTTGAGTAATGCGTTAAAATATTAATATTGTCTGACGTTAATGCCAATTTGGGACTTTTTTCGTACAATCTGGATGGTGACGTACACTCGCTCTCATTCTATGTCTTGCCCAAATTCTGAACCTACAGTTACAAAAAAGCTATTCCAAAATGTATTCCCAAAAAAATTAGCAGAAGAGTCGTGTTACGTCTCAGGAACTAACCCTAGACACACTTTTTTTGGAATTTCTGATAAGAATCTTATCCGATTTGTACATAAGACGTGGCATGAATAGATCTGTGCGCCTCATTAAAAGATTTTCCGCCGTCGGCTAAAAGAAAAGTTCTCGGCGGCGGCGACTAAAAGATTATTTAAAGTCATTTTGATTTTTCTTCCTTTAACCGCAATAAACTCGCGTGATTCATAGAGAATTGTGACAGTATGTTTGTCTTTCTCTAGATACATTAGAATGTTATTACCGTTTTATTTCGGTGATGTTCTACGTATATAATCTCAACATCAGTTGAGTGAAAAGTTACCGAAAGGCAGTCTCGAGGACTGCGCGCGTAGTAAGAACCAGTCCAAGTTTCCAAGGCTTGGGTTTTTCTGTAACGAATAAGTGGTTGTAAAACATATCTATTAGTATTATTTAAAGATTTTCATCGTCAGTGGAGGGTCCAAGCAGAACCAAATTTGAGTACAAAAAGCTTCTATCGGCGAAGATTAAACCAAGTCTTCTATGGTCAGAACCTCCATAAAACTTTGACGCCCTTGGCGGCGGCGGCGGCGCGGTGCACAGATCTAGGCACGAAAGTTGTAGGAATTTCGTAAGAATCAGATAAGAATGCAGTAAGAATCTTATGCGATTTCATAAAAAAGTAATAAGAATCCTTTATCAGATTCTTACAAGGTCTTTGCACGAATCATTTTCTATACATTTCGTTCCCGTAAGTCTCCCCCAGCAGGAACTCTCATAAACTCAAAATTTCGGCGCACTGAATTATAAATTGTATCATGATACACAGCGTTTCAATACTCAAAATACTACGCACTACCTATAACAGAAGTTCAAAGTTGAAAAAGATGTTACGGCAGAATACAAAGACGCGATGTTTATATATAAATGTGGCCGCAGTATCTCAATAGGAGAACCCATGAATTGTCATGAACAACTCACCAGGTTCTAACCCTGAACGAACCGGCTTTTTTAAAAAATCTTTTCTTGCCCATTATTGTTTAAAATTCAGAAAATTGCTGAGGGAACCATCGCGAGTGTTCAGAAAATTTTTTGCTGTACTCGATTCTTGTCTGATTCTTACGAAATACTTACAACTTTCGTGCCACTTCTTACATAAAAATCTGATAAGAATCGAATAAAGTCTTAGCAAAAGTAGATAAGAAGCTGGCAAGATTCTTACCAGCTGGTAAGGATCTTGCCAGCTTCTTATCTACTTTTGTTAAGACTTTCCGTCGCAGAAGGAGACGGAAAGCCGCGAAGACGTGTGACATTCATTAAGTGTAAAAGAGAGCTGAGAAGAAAGAAAAGATCTTAACTCTTTCTTAACTATTTTCCTTAGCCATCGAACGTCGTTTTTTAACTCTGTACTTTTCATTCTCGTCTGCTTAAATGACAGAGCTCTAACGTATGGCATAAAATATCTTAATTCTAAAGGAATAGCTACTCTACATTTGTTTAGCGAGAAGTAGATTGTGCACCGAGCTGTAAGAAGGTTAAGAAATCTAATATAATCATTGTATGTGTCATTTATTATATCCAGTTTCCATCGCTCTTCCTAAAACGCGAGCACAAATTCCGAAAACAGTGAGAAAACCTGCCAATGAACCGTTTTGCCTTGAATTCGTTGATTTGGTTTAGACATTTGGCAGCATACAGTCGAGTCTTTTGACCGAAATTCCGTTCCTAACCAAAATAATCACTCCACCATTCTTATTTTCACCTTTCTGGTAGAAAACTCTGTAATTATAGAAAGCCTGTACATAGAGAAAAAGATCTATGTCGCCTGTCTCTAGAAGAATAAGAATATCAAGATTGTGAGAAGTAGAAAGAAGAAGGACTTCCTGCCAGCGGAGATCCAACCCACGAACGTTAAATGACAAAGTGTAGAGAGAAGAAAAGACAGATGAATTGTCAGCAGATAGACATTTTTCCTAAAGCCAGACGTTTATCTGTAACTTAAATTTTTTCTCATAAAGGCTTTATGAGAAATTTAAAAAATTCAAGTTACAGATAACCGTTTGTGTACATATGATTTAGATTGCGGTTGATTTCAGTTGAGATGTAACGGCCCAAGAAGATTTTAACCAGTTAAAATTATTGTTGTCATTTTCTAGACATCAATTCTTATATATAAGAATTGATGTCTAGGAAATGACATGAGTAACGTTAGCGCAGATATACTACTGTCAAATAACGGCCCTAAACACTAAACTGTCGCCGAATTGTCTTACAACTTACTCTACAGAGAAATTTTTTAGTGCACAGTAAAAAGGAACACACTCATGTTCAGAAAGGAACCGCCTCATAACTGAAAAACTAAGCGGTACCTTTTTAAAAAAAATAGCTTGGCATAGAGTACAACTTATCTACTTCAGACTGCTAGAAAAACTGGAGAAGGGTACCGTCAAATTTGTTAACTTTTTAATCTTGGAATTTTTCAGAATCAATGCTAGTGAGTGTAATCTTTCTTGTGATAAAACGATAAAAATTTATTCTTTTCTCCATTTCTTGCTTTATATCTGTCTCTCTACAGTGTGCAAAGGCAGAAAAAAGCATTTAAGTTCCATCTAACTACCACCGAACTACTTTCGTGGGGTATATAGGTTATACGGGTTATATGAATGTTTCGTTATACAATGATGAATATAACGGTAATGGATGAGTAGTTATTATTCATCATTTAACACTCTTATTCATTGATTATTAATAGCTGTTTCAAAAAGATACTAACTATGGATAATTACAACTATTTTTATTTCTGTTTTACATAGATTATCTCTGGCTACCATGACCCGAAGAGAAAGCCGGATAGTCAAGGTAGGTCAGAAAGTTCTCTAAAAACTCATTTGGCATTTATATTGACGTAGATACTTACTTTTTCATGCGTTTAGCGGTGTTATTGGCAGCCTTATAACTAAAAAACTAAACGGTACGTTTTCTAAAAAATAACATGGTATAGGGTACAAGTTGTGTAACACAAACTGGCAGAAAAACTGGAGAGGGGTCATTTCAAATTTATTACCTTTTTAAACTGGGAAGTTTCCAGAATAAACACTAGTTTCATAGTGAGTAGAATCCTTTTCAATAAAACGATAAAATTTATTCTTTTCTCCATTTCTTGCTTTATATCTGTCTCTATAGTGTGCCTAGAAAGAAAAAACATCAAAGCAAAGAAAACTGAAACATAAAAGAGAACGGGAAAAAAGCGGCATCATTGATGTCTACTGTTGAAGATAGTGTAATATAACGTGAAAATCCACAGTGGAGAATCCGGGTCCAAAAGTGCCAGAACCCCGACGAGATCTTTGCGTCGTACAACGTAACTCGTCGCGCTGATTCCGAATATCTAAAAATCTCGAGGGTCGCTTCTCTAGAAAAAAGCCATCAAATTTTGATATGATGAGTTTGTCACCAGTTACTTTAATCATCAGTAGTCAGAGCTTTCAGTAATCTCTGACTACTACTACTACCACCTGAATGTTTACGAACGGTTGTCTAATTAATTGTTGTGTCTACTATTTTGTACCGATAGTCGTAGATTGATTACTAAATGTCGGTTTCTTCACTTCATTGTGTTAGCGACAACTATAGCCATAGTCATCGCTAACTTTATTCTACACTAGAGTTAATCGTTGTCCTTTCTTGTCTCTTTGTATATACATCACTGTTATTCATCCTTTCCTCTCAGTCAGTTAATTCTCTCTCCTACGAATCTATACACATTTCAGTCAGCCAATTCTCTTTCCCACTGTTAGATATATAGATATCCCTGTTATTCATTGTTCCTTGTCTTTTTTACTCTTCAGTTGTTATTCTTTTCGTTATATTGTAACTTTCAACTTTTGTTTCTAATAAAATAAAGACTTTTCATTGTCTCTGCATAAAAAGTCGGTAAGTACGATTCTAGACTTTTTACTCTTTAGTGTGAGCTCTCGCCCTAACAGACCGGGGTCGTCTCTGCTGTCTCTTCCTGTCCCTTAGCCAGGAGCCTCGAACAGTGATCATCGAGATCGAGAGTCTCACATTTTTGGTGGAGAAGAGGAGAGTAAAAGGTCTGGTATATGCAAAATGTATTATTTTTGCGCGATAAAATAATTTTAACGTTATAATCGATAATTATGATAATTGTTAAATGCAAAACAGTGAGATAAACAAATTTTTAAGTGCACCATCGAGAAATGGTTTACTTAATAACAGTCTGACAAGTTTACACACACCGAGAGAAACACAAGCGTCATCTGCCGATTTTATACGAAATTTGCGACGAAAAAGCATAATTCCCACTCCAAATCGACCTCATAAACTCTTACATTTTTCGAGAATATCTACGAATGAAGAAGAGGAACAAATAATAACGCGAGCAGAAGAAGAACCACAAAATGACGCGGAAGAAGTTGATGAACAACCACCTGCCGCTTCTTCAGTCATAACAGTCGAAAATAAGATAAGACAAATTTCTTCTACATTAAAAAAGGATGAAACTCCAGTGATTAATCAAGAAGATAATTGTAATCATGAGTTTGACTCGTTTATTTTGTCAAATTTTGAACAATTTACGGGAAAGCAGGATGTTTTAACCTGGTTGTATGAAGTAGAAGCCAAATTCAATAGTTTAAAGGTTAATCGAACCTTTCGATACGACGCAGTCCCTCTTCTTGTATCTGAGGAAGCAAAACATTGGTATATAAAGAATCGTAAACATATAGAATCTTTCGACGATTTTTATGAATTAATTCTTTTGGAATTCCATAAAGATAATTTAATATTTATGGATCCAAAACACCGTTCAACGACGGTACCTGGTCTAGGTGCGGCCAGTTTTTCTGGCGAGATACCCGATTCTCGACCGGCAACCACGTTGACGGCTGTTAAGCTTAGTACCGAGCCCACTTCAATCATTATTCCGTCAACACATATAACATCTTTAAGCACCCCTTTGACTACACCTCTAACAGAACAAACTACAATTGATTTACGTAGAGCAGTATTGGAGAATTTAGTAAAAAGTCCGAAAACTTTTAGTGGAGGAAATAACGACGTGAAGAAATGGCTAGAAGAATTACAAAATACATTCGATATAGCACATATTCCTGATGATAATAAATTAAATATTATTTCGTATCAATTAAAAGGCGAAGCTTTTATATGGTACAATGAAAATAAAAAATATTTCACTTCATGGGATAATTTCGTAGAATTGATTCAAAAGGCTTTCACTTCTTCTTTCTCCGCTGATATTGCGTTCAGTAAATTAGAAACATATACACAAACACACAATCAATCAGTGAGAAATTATTATACAGAGATGATGAAATTATGTAAAGAAGCTGATCAGACTATGAGTGATACAACGAAATTGAAATATTTATTATCAAAAATGAAAAGTAGTTTACAATTCGAAGTGCGTATGAAAAAACCGACAAATCCGCAAGAATTTTTGCATTATGCACAAGAAATAGAAGCACTAGTACAACTATCGTCGCTAACAACTAATAATAATAATCAATCATCGATAACAGTAACAGCTTCAACCACAACTTCCGCTCCAATGCCTCCATTTGTTTCGAATACTAATCTACTCTCACCAACACCGCGGCCACCGTTTAATGATAACTATAGAAATAATTATAATTCTCCGTATCGTTCCTCTTTTCGTCAATCCGTACAACCACAACGATATTCTTTTCACCCACAACAATTTTAAAGAGGACAATTAAGCATTCCCATATCACAGTTTCGTCCAAATCAACAACGTCTATCATTCAATAACTATAATAATTCATATCGACAACGAAGTAATAATTCTTTTCGTAATAATTATCAGCAAGACCAACAACATACCGCTCATGCAATAAGTAGGCATGGCACATTGAACCATGATAATTACGAACAACCATCACTTTTATCTGTTAATTGTGATAAATGTGGTCAAGTTGGACATGAGCCTCTGGTCTGTCCAACTTTCTAGTTCCGGAGTCATCGAAAGATGGTGTTGCCTCCACTCAAAATACAGTAAATCCATCAAAATCATCGTTAATTTTTATTACAACACTAGTGAACAATACAAAAATGCGTATATTGATTGACACCGGAGCCACAACAACATTTATTAGCGAAAAATCATTAAGAAAAACAAAACATCATAAATACATCAATAAAGACTCTTATTCTTTTTTATTAGCAGATGGAGTGGCACCGTTCTTGGTATCAGGAATTGTGGAATTAACTATAAAATTCGGAGATCAATTAACTAAAATTCATGCACATGTAGCTAGAAATCTTTGTAACGATATGATAATAGGAATGGATTATATAAACCGCTATAATTTAAATATTAATATTAAACAACAAACCATTTCTATTGATAATAATAAACATAAAGCGCAAATGGTCATTGATAAAGATTTCGATACACAAATATTTCCTGTTACATTGTCTAAATCTGTGCATATTTCTCCTAACTCTACTCAACAAACTAACGTCTCCATTCCCATTTCTTCTATTATTTCGTCGTTCGTTCCTAATTCTCGTTTTATTCACAACACATCGCTCTTTGTTGCACACACACGTCTTATTTTTCAACGTTACTCTACCTCTATTACATTGTCTAACGATTCAGAGTATCCACGTTTTATTCAGAAAGGACTTTGCATCGGATATTTAATGTGTTACCCGCCCCACCAGTATTGTCAACATCACCCGTGCTCTTCTAAAGGTACTTTACTTGGTGAGACCAGTTTTTCTGACACGTCATCAGTTCCGCGTAGTACCGGACAGAAGGATATCTCAACACAAGACAATCATATATATAACACCATTCAACCACCCATCATTTGTAATACAATACAATCTATCCATCCGAAAGTTGAACACGATATTCAGCAGTTAGTTAGTAAAACGGAAGATAAAAACCGACATGATGACCTACTATCACTTCTACATCGTTTTCATATTATTTTTGACACCACGAAACATAATATTGCAAACACACCAATAAATCACGTTATTAACACACTTCCACATTCACCACCTGCACAACGACCATATCCTCAACCAAATACCGAAGAATCCATGTATAAAATTTGTCAGGAATTCTTAAAAGCTGGCCTGATAAGCGAATCCCATTCTCCATACGCAGCACCGGCGTTATTAGTGAAAAAATCTGATGGAAAGGATCGTCTTGTCATTGATTAGAAAAAGTTAAATTTGGTTACAATAAAAGATTCGTCTCCTCTCCCTAACATGGAAGATACAATACAAAAACTAGGACGTGGATATAAATATTTTTCTAAACTGGATTTGAAATCCGGCTTCTATCAAATTCCCATAAAAGAAGAGGACAAAGAAAAAACGGCATTCATCACCAGCTTCGGCCACTATCAATTCAATGTACTACCAATGGGGCTACGCAATTCTCCACCGACCTTCCAAAAAATGATGACCAACACTTTGAAATCGTGTCGTGATTTCTCACTCGTCTATCTCGACGACATCATCGTGTATTCCAACTCATATGAACAACATCTCAATCATCTTGAAAAGGTCTTCACTGCTTTACGAAATAAAAACATAACACTCAATCCACCCAAATGTGAATTAGCAGTAGAAAAGATTAATTATCTTGGTCATACTATAACATATAATAAAGTAACGCCTGTAGAAGATAAAATAATAAGTATATTAGAAATGAAAGAACCAAAAACATTAACTCAAGCTAACAAGTTCATAGGAGCCCTCAGCTGGTACCGCAAGTTCATTCCCAAATTTGCCACTCTAGCAGCACCTATTCATGCTGTAACTAATTTAACGAAATCGCATCGAAGAAATTTTAAATGGAAAGCGGCACAAACAAAAGCATTCAATGATTTAAAACAATTATTAATATCCCAACCCTTATTTCTCAATTTCCCAGTTGAAAACAAACCTATGATATTAACAACTGATGC